AATTTGACGCGAGAGCGATAAGCACAATTCATTTAAGTTTGACTCCTGAACTGAAATATAGTGTCATGAATGAGATATCTCATTCCGAGTTGTAGAAAAAATTAGAAAAAGTTTATATGTCGAGATCCCTAACAAATAGATTATATTTGAAGAAGTAATTTTATAAGTTAAAGATGGGTGAGGAAAGTGATTTTATGGACCATATAAATAATTTTAATAATTGCATAACTCAGTTATTAAGTGTTGAGGTCAAAATTGATGAAAAAGATAAAGTGGTCATTTTATTGGCCTCCCTACCCACATCATATGAGACTTTGGTGACTATACTTTTAGTTGGAAAGGCGACGTTGACTGTAGATGTGATGTCGACTGTTTTGTTAGAGACTGCAAATATAAAAAGCCTAGTGTTACATCTCATACTGAACAAGTTTTAGTGCCAAAGTCAGATTCAGATAAGGATAGGAGCAAGCCACGATGAGAGATATTATGATAAAAGAGATGATCATTTCTAATCCCATCCAATGAATGATATCGAGTGCTATTATTTTCATAAGAAAGGGCATATTAGGAGAAATTGTGAAGACTTGACAAAGGACCTTGAAGAAAGAAGAAAGTAAGAAACCTAAGAGACTTCAGATTCTGCAAATGTTGTTAGAGACAGGTATAAAAGTGAAGATAATGTGTATTTTGTTATTACTGATGAAAATATTTATGACTCTTGGATCTTAGATTCTGGATGCTCGTTTCATATGTGTCCACATAAAGACTGGTTTGATTCTTATAAGCTCTGTGATGCCGGTACTTTGTTGATGACTAATGATTCTAGTGCTAAAGCTATTGGAATAAGTACTGTAAAGGTGAAGATGTTTGATGAAGTTGTGAGGACATTAACAAATGTTAGGCATGCTCCTCAACTAAGGAGAAGTTTGATTTCTTTGGGAGTTTTAGACACTTTGGGTTGTGAGTATTATGCGAATGGTGGTTTTATATGCAAGTTAAGAGATGTGATTTAATAGCCACGAAAGGTGAAAAAGTGAAAAACTTGTATAAGCTTATTGGGACAACAGTTGTAGGTGGAGCTATGAAGGAGGAACCATGCCAAGAAGAGTCTTCTTCTATTATGAAAGAAGTTGCAGGAGTAAAAGAGTGCAACAAGATGTTGATAACAGTTGAAGACAATAAATGTAAGATGGTGAAGACTTGTGGCAGTGAAGATGCTTTGAAGAAGAAGAAGACGGTCCTTATGTCAAGTTTGATGAGAGTTTGAATTTGACACATGTTTATTCTTGTTGATGTTTACATTGTCGGTGCTATGACGACTGTCGAGATTGGATACCCAATTGAGTGAGTTGAGAGACTTTGAATCAAGGTGGAGATTGTTATGTAAGTGACTCAATTGGTTTTGAGAAAGTTAGGAGCTGTTCGGCAGCCCCTTTCTTGAGTCAAAAACTCAAAAAAAGTAACTCGAGTTATAACTTTATTCAAGTTTATGTTCTTTTAAGTTTGAACTCGAGTTTGTGACTAAAACTCGAGTTCAAGTTTCCCCTTCAACTCGAGTTCAGAAACTCGAACTCAAATTAATGAATAGTATATTTTATATTCATAAAAATGCTATAACTTTTTCGTTTTAATTCTGATTGAGATGATTTTTTTTCTATACGTTGACAACGAAAAGACGAATAAAACCCCACCCATATACCATATTAAAATTTTCCATCAACATTGAGTTTTTATTAAAATACTATCTAAATACAAATTCAAGTTCTGACTAACTCAAACACAAAATCAAAAAAATTCTTATCTCAAATCATAACTCAAATGTACACAACCAAATACAAATTCAAGTTACAACTTCAATTCAAGTTATAACTCAAACTCAATTCAAAATCTACACTCAAGTCACCTAACTCAAAAAGGACAAAAGAACAGCCCCTTACTATTTTGTGTTTTTGGATAAGTTACTATTTTCAGTTTTTAGGCAAGGATTATTTTATGATTTATTAGGAGTATATAAATAAGTGTTTTGTGTAAGGCTTTATGTGTGTGCTCAGAGAAAAGTATAGAGACAGAGTGTCTCTTTTTGAGAGAGATAGATAGGCAAAGGTGTAAGGGTTTTTGGGTAGAGAGAAAGTGAGAAAGTTTGTTGAGTGTGTAATTCTGAAACTGTTAGTGAATTTTTCTCCCTCTTCTGTGGACGTAAGAAATTTTTCTGAACCATCAAAATTTTTATCTTCTCTATTTTTATGTTATTTTCGTTTCAATTTATTTTTCTGTTTTATGAGTGTAGGGGTGTATTTTTTTTCCAACATATATATAATGGGAAACAAGATGAGGTCACCAAAAACCATGTGGGGTTTAAAAGAAAAGACCGGTTGGTGATAATCCCTGCTCCTCTCTGTCTTTCTCAACTATGGTTTTAAGCTAATCAAATGGCTTGGTTTGTTTTAAACCATTAAAATTTGTAATTTTTGCTTCAAATGGTTAATGATGATAGAAATCACTATAAGAGGCATATAATTCAGAGATGTTGTTTCACACGTCTCTCCTAAACTTAGGCTTTACAGCATAAGGAGTGCTTTATAATTTTTGCGAAAGGACAATTATAACGAAACGTAAGCTAGCACAAAAGTAAATAAAAGTGTTTTGGAATATGCAAGATAACTTCGTGACTAAGGGATGATTCTGTTTCGTTTTTACTTTCAAAGATTTGGACTTGGTATTTATATAAAGAAAAAAAGAGAAAATTACATTACATATTAAAATTTTATACCTCAAATTGAAATTTAGCAAATTTTTTAAAATGTACAAAAATAGAAAAAATGACTTAGTAATTATCACATTGATCATGAAAAAAAGGGTGAGAGAGCTCGAATGGAGAGCATGAAATGTTGGGTTATTCCTGGCGAAAATTGGGCCACCAGAAATCCAAATGGAAAGGAAGCTTATAGCAAAGAGGCCTATCAAATGAAAGGAGCCCATTTAAAAGTGTTTTTCTCATGCAACTGTAGTTCTTGTATGACGATTCTCTCAAGAAAAGGACTAGGACTCCTAGCTCGAAAGATGTGTTTGGTATGAGGATTCATGTTATGATTTAAATTATAATTCGTGACTCATTATAGTATTTTTTATCATAAAAAACACACGTAAATTAAAAATAATTCTGAATCTATAAATCAAACGTCCACGTATCTCTATCTCTGAAGACATAAAAATACTGAATTTTCCATTATATCTTTCTCAAGCACACTTCAGCATTTCCAAAAGTCCAGAAACCAAGTTACCATCGAAATAGGCTTAGAACATCTCTTATGTAATTGTCAGTTTCAACAAGAGAAAGTTCCTCTCATTCTTCTCTATTTATTCAACTGGATTATGTGTGGAGGTGAAATTTTAGACCGCCCGACCCGACCTTAGCAGCCCAAATAAAAATTTAGAACCGAGTTGACCCGTACCTAAAAGGAGAGAGTCAGCTCAGTCTCACACTAAAGCACAACATACTTAAGGACTATCCAGGAGTTTATAAAGTATTTTCAAAATTTTTTTTTTAAGAAAATGAGTGTTTGGGAAAGTCCGATCCCGGCCGAGTGAACTTTCGGGCTCGGAACCTCAGCCCAATTTGGTTTGAAAGTTCAGACTAGGTTTAGCTAAGAATGATAGGCCTTGAGTCAGTCTATTTAACCCGCTTCAAACTTGCAGCTCTATTTATATGTCTTTCCTGCCTTATTAGCAAATATAGTCCAAATATAAAACATGAAATTATGTTATGGTATTTTTTTTTTAACACAAATCTCAAATTTTAGGATTGCAGATTCTTTTTGTCTTGAGTATCCTAAGTTTAAACCTTGATATCTTATTAAAAATTAAAGGAAAAAAAAGGCCATTAATGTTAAGACCATTAGAAAAAGACCAGCACGAAGTGGGACAACTACGATAGAAAATTACGTAGTATGCCGCTAATGCTCAACAATCTTGCATTAATGCCATCCAATCTCTTACTATTTTTTGTTGATTTTGTTATTCTACCATAATACTCTTCAAAGACCATAGCCAAAGATATCTCGTCATTTTATAGAGGAGAAAAATGATATGGTAGAATATCCTACTAAGATATTTGATTATTTTTTGATGAATTGAGTGATATATATATATATATTAAATTTTTGATGAATCGAGTGATATAGATATTAAATTTATACTATTGAGTGATATATTGTAAAGATAATTTTGAATGGAATTTTTGTTTTCTCTACATCTACAGTCTGAACTAACCATTTGCCATGCATACCTCATTATCCAATTAATTTAAGAAAATTACTAAATTTATCCTTAATGTTATAAGTCTAAATTTTTAGCCCTTATTCTTAGTTAATATAATTAAAAAATGTATTAATTAAGAGTAAGAGATATAAATTCAATTCTATATACTTAAAGATGTATTTATCTCTTTTCTCTAATAAAAAATTAATGAACTCACATTTAAATGTATTGTTTTAAAATTTTTACCGTTTATTTTTAATTAATATTTTTTAATTAATATAATTTTTTAATTAAAAGGCATTAATTAAATATAAGAGATAAAAATCTAAAATTCATACCATTCTAAAGATGTTTGTCGCTTTTCACCTTTCCCCAATTTATTTCAGCCCAAATCTTTTTAGCTCGGTGATTTGGACTCTTCAACCCAATCTGTATAATTTAGGAAATTAAAAACCTTTCCTCTTTTGTTGAATCAGTAATACGACAGCGTTGCATCCATCAAGGAGCCAGCCCTAACCCCACAGAAAATCTCGATGAACGGCTAAGATAAACCAATCTCTCTGAAGTGTCCACCGTAAGATCCTGCAACGTAGAGAACTTTCTAGAACATTGAAGTGATTGCCAGATAACAGAGCCGCGACATATGGCGAAATTTAGAAGCTTCTCAGAGTTAAGAAAGGAAAAGCAAATGAAACTCCGACAAAACAAACTTGGCTACTTTCTCTCTCTCTAGAACTTTCCTTTCCGTCGCCTTAAATTCTCTCTCCTCCTTCCTCAAAATATCTCTGAACTGCTTCCGAACGACACAGCAAAAAACTCTTAGCTAACTGGAAATTGTATTAGACAAATGCTCTGTTTTGCTCTGTATCTCAATGGATAGAGAGAAAATAACGGTTAAGGAGGAATTAGAAGAGACGCTCGTGAACGTCGGCGGGTCGTCGGCGTCGTCGTCGTCTTCGAATGTGTCGCCGCAGCCAATGGAGGGATTACACGAGATGGGTCCGCCGCCATTTCTGACGAAGACGTTCGAGATGGTGGAGGACCCCTTGACGGACACGATCGTATCGTGGAGTATAGCGAGAAACAGCTTCATCGTTTGGGACTCTCACAAGTTTTCGACACTTCTTCTTCCTCGCTACTTCAAACACAGTAACTTCTCCAGCTTCGTTCGTCAGCTCAACACTTACGTAAGTACTTCTCAAACAATCTAATTTTAGTTTGCTAATTATTCGATTTCACACAGAATGTTTGGAATTTAAATAAATTTCAATTATTTCAATTGCTTTGCCGATTAATCTCAAAATGGAATATATCCTGAACATATGTGCCATGGTTCTTTACTGTCAAGAATACAACTATCTAGATTTGCTATTTTTAAATATTTATTCGGACCTACCCTAAGTAGCAACCAAAAATTTGTATCCATTTTCCATGATGTTATGCAGGGGTTTGATGTATTATGACGAATCCTTGAGAAAAGATTGTGTAACATTAGCTACAGTTACAAAATTTGAGAATTTTCAATGTTCAAAGTAACAAAAATAATAGGTTTGATTATTCGCTGACATAGATTATGGATTGCAGGGTTTCAGAAAGGTTGATCCAGACAGATGGGAATTCGCAAACGGAGGATTTCTAGCAGGGCAAAGGCATTTGCTTAAGACCATCAAGAGAAGGAGGAACGTGTCAAGCAGCATACAACAGAGCCAAGAAGCTTGCGTTGAGGTGGGCCAATTCGGGCTCGAGTGCGAGCTCGAGAGGCTCAAGAGAGATCGGAAGGTGTTAATGGCGGAAATCTTGAGGTTGAGGCAACAACAACAGGATTCACGAGAGAAAGCCATGGCAATGGAGGGTCGATTACTATCCACAGAGAGGAAGCAACAGCACATGATGAACTTCCTCGCAAAAGCACTCAGCAATTCTACTTTTGTTAACCAATTCGCTCAGAGAAATGCCGAGAGGAAGTGGTTAAACGAGGTGGGGACTGGACGAAAACGGAGGGTCATTGCGAGTCCAAGCTTGGAAAATCTGCAGGGACAAGAGGCTGTGGGTGAGGCTGGATTGGAACCGGAGATGGAGACGTTGTTCTCGGCTGCAATGGACAACGAATCGAGCAGTGGTATCAATGACCCTATAGCGAGTTCTGTGGACACTGCGAGTGGTGATGGTGGTGGTAACTTGGATTCGGTTAACGAATCGATTTGGCAGGAGCTACTGAGTGATGATATGATTGGTGGGAATCAAGAGGAAGAAGTTGCGCTAGTCGATGAATCGGAGCCCGACGTTGAGGTCGAGGATTTGGTTGCGCAAACTGATGATTGGGGTGATGATTTGAGTGACCTTGTTGATCAAATGGGATATCTCAGGTCCAAGCCCTAACTTGGAAAGCTAATGTTACAACATACAAGTGGTTGTGGTGTAATTTTTTTTATGAGTTGGTCCCAGCAACTGATCTATTCCCAATCCAATTCCTATTGGTATGTCTTATTATGAACTCTTGTTATTTGTCATGTCTATTGTTGTGAAGAGAGATTTAAGAGTTTTAACTGTAATGGTTTTTTTTTTTTTTTTGGTATTTTTTTTCCTTACTTTTTTGCGCAGCAAGGGAATGGTCAAAGTTGCAAATGGACCAACTTAGTGTTGTTCTTTTTCTGTATCCTTTAACTATGATTTTATATCCCTTGTTGTGTTAAATTCCTTTGTTATTCAATTGTTTCTTGTTTCTTTTTTTTTATTATTATTTTTTTTCGCAGGCGGGCTCGCCGCAGGGCATCTTGAGCAGGCTAATTAGGAAGTACGTACGGTATGGTACAGTGACTTATGAGTAGAAAGTACGGAGATTGATGATGCTAGTACATACTACAAAGATTGTATACTGGACAGAAGCCTTCGGATTAGGAAGTACGATGTTTAATTTATTATGCTTAGAACATATTGTAAAGCATGCGTAAATTGTAATATAACAAAAGTCGCATAGCTGAAATATCTTGTTAATGTTAGGATCAGCAAAAACTAGGTGAAGATTGCCTCCGGGAAATAATGTAAAGGAATGGTGTCTACCTATTTTTTAGCATATTTTCTTTTTGTTCTTTGCCCGAGAACCCGAGAATCTCAAAATATGAACGGAATACTGACGTGAAATCTCTGTTACTTTTCTTCAATGTTTAACTCTGCTTTTCTCTCTCTCTTTTTTCTTTTTTTTTTTGGCCGGAAAGCGGCAGATTTATGCGGCGAGGCGCTGACCTGCCGGGAAAGGGCAATATGAAAAATGGTTCCAACATTGGGGTTCTAACTATTTGGGATTTGGGTTTTGAATTGCCTTAAAAATTTAAAAGGAATTTAAGTTTATATATATATATATATATATTTTTTTTTATTTTTTTTATTTTGAGGGTTTACAACGGTGGTTAGAGTTGAACGATTTATAGTTCTCATTTTTTTTAAAAAAAAAATGTCGGATTTGAATGGTTCTCATTTAAAAAAAAAAAATGTCAGATTTTGGATTATAGTTAAAATGAAATTAGTTAGAAATTATAAATCACAAGAAAGAATAAGGCTTTTGATCATCGTTAAGTAAATCTATATTCAAGCCAGCAAGTAATAAAATATTATCATCAGCAGATTATAAACGTGAATAAGTTTAAAAGAACATTTAAAAATAAAATAAAAGACCAACATGTATAGTGGTTCATTCTAATTGAGAGCTATGTCCAATGTAGGTGTTATTCACTATCTAGAAATGTTGATGCAAATCTCAGAAGTACAAACTCAAAAATTCCCTCACCGCGGGTCTCTCCACCACTACCTAGAACGTGGATAGTAGGTCCTCCAGATGTTGACACGTGTCATGACCCATTTCTTGGAAATCTTTTTCTGATAGTGGGTGGTTATTAGTTTGAGTTGTGCTGTTTATCTTCGAGAACGATGATAGTCGGCTCTTTATGTAGGGTTTGATATCACCTATCTTGAGGGCTTTACCTTCATCTGATTTCTCTGATTGGCTCGGTGGTGATTGTAATCGATCGACCATATGAGACAATTTGAAAGCGATATAATCTCAAGGGCCAAGGCAACAAGAACTGAAAAACGACAATAGTAAACACAAGTAAAAGATGACAACTACCATGAGACAATTCGACGGAAAATGACAACTATATAGAAATGATTTTAATAGGAAACACACCAGCAGCTATTAAGGGCTCAATTTTTTTATGGGTTCAAATCACGTGATTTTGGTTCAAATAGTATTTTCTATCACAAAAAATTTGAATTTAAAATTAAACTTTAATTCAAACCACTGTTTTGAACTCATTTTAAATGGACATTAAGATGACACAATTAAATTTAAACAACTATTGAATCTAAAATGACAATTATGTACGAACAAAAGATGACATAATTGACTATACGACGGCAACTATGGGCAAACGATAACCACGTGGAAACAACAATAAAATATAATAGAACTGGAAATATTGGAACTCAAAATAAAATGATTATACAATTCAAAAACGACAGTAGTCTAGAAACAACATGAACATGAACGACAACTTGTAGAGGCGCAGTAGTTAAAAAAAATGAAACGACGACTACAAGAAGACAATACGGCGGAAAAACGACAATCACGAACATAGAAATGGTAGTAATGTATATAAAAGGAAAAATACAAAGCTAAAACGTCACAACACATTAAAGCGACCATATATTAACAAGCAATAAGGGCAAGAGCGACAACTATAGGAGGACAATACAATGTATAGGGGCAGGTGTTATAAGACGACGTTTTATGTGAAAAAACCAGACAGAAACGACAATGTTTCCCTAAATCAGGGTTTGTTAGTTCTACTTGTTGGGCTGTTTACCTTATTAGCCCAAGAACATTCCACATAAAACATGTGAAGTTATGGCATATAGATTAGTTTTGAAAATATTTATGATAAATTATATATTTCAAGATATTTATGATAAATAGTATTTAAATGAATAATTTACCTTAAATATGTTAGTCATCACGAATATTCTCAGAAAAAATGCTATTTAGCTCTTATGTTGTCATTCTATTGACAATCCATTTACGTGTATTTGTCTATTTGATTTCATATGTAAACTAATAAGGTTGTCATTCTCTTGACAATCTATTTACGAGTATTTGGCTATTTTATTTCATATGTAGAGTTTTAGAGCGGAATCTTTGGCCAGGTCTTCAGGAACAGATTATGCCAAGAGAGCTAGACAAACTGTTGCAGTTAGACAAACAAGAATTAATTAAGTTGTATTCGTCAGGATTTCAATATTCGTTTTTGGTGCCAACAACCGGAGATATTATTTAAATTTACTTTAGGAATCAATAATATTAGTCACGCGTCAAGAAAAACACACGAAAAGAGCATCTTTTTAAACCAACATATCATTCCAAAGAAGGAGATTCCCATCCATTATATACCAAGAAAATATAATGTTTATGTATCATAGTATAAACTATAATTGTGAGGTGAAAGCAATTAGCTTCGTCATTGCCACTAAAAACCAGAAAATTATCATACTGTAAAAAAGACTTTGGATATGGTGTTTGAGGTAGATTTTGTCCGAAAGAAAAGCGTCCTGGTGTGGTCTGGTCCGTTCCCTAGGCCTATCCAGACATCCAAGAAAGTCCATTTCAAGCACGTGTTGTCGAATTCGACGAATGTAGGCTCGAGGGACGAGAGTTGCGAGGGTTCCATCGGAAGTTTTTTTTCGGAAGAGACTTTTTAGTGTCGATCCAAAAGAATTTGTTCACTAACAATCTTTCCATTCGAATTATGCGTTTTGACTGACAAGAATTTGCGCAAAAAAGAAAGCGTGGCAAATAAGATTGTCACGTATCTATGTGTGTGATTATGTGTTTCCGTGTTGGAGAAGAAAAGGCAAGTTCATGGATTAAAGCCTAACTCCATTCTTGGCTCAGTTTGTGAGTTCACTAGTGCGCATATCAACAACATATGTGTGGTCACGTACTGATCTTCTCTTCTCCTGCCTTATCTGCCGTTGATTTGGACTCAGACTTATGCCACAATGTGATTAACCATTCTTATTCATAAACTGAAAACTTAAAATAGAAAAAACGAAAGGAAGAAAACAAAAGAAAATGAGAGGAACTAGTTGCCAATTGCGCTACGCAAAGTGGGACTTACTGTTTCTGCTAATATTACATATATATATATATATATATATATATATATATTGGTATTGGAGTCATTGTTGTCAATATAGAAATACCACAGACGATATAAAAAACGATATGATGGGTTTGGCCAAGTTTTCCTAAATAAAATCATTGAAATACCCGACAAAGACCAAGTGTCCAAACCAACCTCATGATTTTATAAACCATTTAACTCCCAAGCCCCCTCCGGCTCACCTTCAACTAGAATTCTCTCTCTCTCTCTCTCTCTCTCTCTCTCTCTCTCTAAAAGAATGGCAGAAGTAGCAGAGAGCGTTCTTGAGAGATTGGTGGGCATGGAAGCTGGGTTGTTAACAAGTGTTTCTTCTGTGATGCCAACGATGTTGTTCACAGTGTTGACGTTAGTAGTAGGGGTTTTGGCATACTTGTATGGGCCCTACTGGGCGGTCAGAAGGGTACCTGGACCACCATCTATCCCCTTTGTAGGGCACCTTCCTTTAATGGCCAAGTATGGTCCTAACGTCTTCTCTGTTCTTGCCAAACAATATGGCCCTATTTTCAGGTACTGCATGATAGGACCTAATTGTAATCTTCTCTTATATTTATAATCCTAATTTACTTTTTTTTTCTTTTTTTTTTTGAGTTCTTTGTGAGTTTTTCTCAAATTCTTCCTTTTTGAACAAAAATTCCTGTTCATATTATTGGGGACATTAATTCAGTATTATCATTATAGGCGTGACAAATGGAAGACTTTATTTAATTAGCTGTCAAGACTTTGTGTGTGTGATGTGTTTATTTGTTTATTTATTTATTTATTTATTTGGGTGAAACTGAAGATAATAATTTCAACAAGATGATATCATGATTTGAAATAAGTGGGGAAGTGGGGCAGGTTTCATATGGGGAGGCAGCCATTGATAATAGTGGCGGATCCTGAGCTTTGTAGAGAAGTTGGAATAAAGAAATTCAAAGACATTCCTAACAGAAGCGTTCCCTCTCCCATCTCTGCTTCTCCTCTGCATCAAAAGGGTCTCTTTTTCACCAGGTACTCTATTACATAACACAAGCCTAGCTAATATGAAAAGTCCATTAATTTGAAATACAATTTTTTATTATTATTATTTTTTTTTCCTACAAAGCAATTATTTTCTACACTACTTCTCAAAAGTAATTATAGTTTGCTGTCAATATATACCATTTAACGACAAAGTATTAATAGTGCAAATGTTAAGAATCAAACATGTAAATATACCCGGTATTAACGAATCCAAAATTTCATTTTAGTGGGGGCATAAACTATGCCTATGGGTCGTTCTTTTTATAACTCAATTTAAAATTAACTTTTTTATTTAGTGTTTTTCACTCGTATATATAATTTAAGTTCTCAATTTAAGTTGTAAAAAGAATAATTTTTAAATTATTACTTATAAATTAAAATTATTAAAAATAAATAGGATAGGTTGGTAATTTAAGAAAGAGAGTGTACAAGAACACTAAAATCAATTCATCAATATATAGAGTTAGAACTTGGTGGTACGCTGTTGGCACGCAGATTAAAAAAAATAAACTGTAAATGGTGTTTTAAAGGAGAAGTGGATAACAATAATGGATAATGATGTCATCAATTTAACAAGAATGAAATGGAAAGAAAAAAGAAGCATTAATTAGTCGGAAGTTTTACCCTTTATGGAGAATGGAAAACAAGGTGCGAAAGAAAGAGTTAATCATTGAGCGGGAAATTAAGTATATATTAGAAATAATTATTTTAATTCAGTAGAGGTACATGTCTTTACTGATCCTAATGTAGATCCGTGACCGAATATACCACCAAAATAGTAAATTAACTTATAAGTCGTTTAATAGATGAGAGGTCTCGAATTTAAATCTTTTAAGTTATCGGCTCAATATTCATTATTTTTAAAAATATCTCTTCATAAGTAGTTACGAGACACTAGGAACGCTCTTTCCAGTATTTGTGGAGTATAAACTACTCATAATTTAGTGATATGTAATACTAGAATAACATGAGAATATTAATCCAGGGACGCAAGATGGTCGACCATGCGAAACACCATCTTATCAGTGTACCAGCCATCTCATCTGGCGAGCCTCGTCCCCACCATGCAAGACTCCATCGATTCTGCCACCCAAAACCTCGAATGCTCCTCCTCCTCCTCATCCGAACAGCAGGACATCACCTTCTCCAACCTCTCTCTCGGACTAGCCACCGACGTCATCGGTCAAGCCGCCTTTGGCGTCAGCTTCGGCCTCTCCAAACCCCATTCTGATCATGACTCACTCACCACCAACGGTAGTAGTAGTACTACCGACGAAGTCTCGGACTTCATAAACCAGCACATCTACTCCACAACACAGCTAAAGATGGACTTATCAGGCTCATTATCCATCATCCTCGGCTTGCTCATCCCGATTCTCCAAGAACCCTTCAGGCAAATCCTCAAGAGAATTCCCTACACTATGGACTGGAAAGTTGACCGCACCAACAAGAAACTCAGTGGTAGGCTTAATGAGATTGTGGCCAGGAGAATGAGAGACAAAGAGAGAGGTTCCAAGGACTTCTTGTCTGTCATATTGAATGCTAGAGAGACGGAGACGGTTTCCAAGAACGTGTTTAGTCCAGACTATATTAGTGCTGTCACGTACGAGCATTTGCTTGCTGGGTCAGCAACCACGTCGTTTACTTTGTCTTCCATTGTGTATTTGGTTTCCGGGCACCCGGAGGTTGAGCAGAAGTTGCTTGCCGAGATTGATGGATTCGGGCCGAGAGATCTGATGCCGACGGCTCAAGATCTTCAAACGAAATTCCCTTATCTTGATCAGGCTAGTTTAGACTCTTTTTTTTATGGCTATTTGCTTGTGTGAATTTTGTTCTGTTTAGCCAAATGGTATGCGACTATATTTGAAGTTTTATCTTTTTTTGGCTTTGGTTATGTGAATGCAGGTGATTAAAGAGTCTATGAGGTATTACGTTGTTTCACCCTTAATTGCCAGAGAAACATCAAAAGAAGTAGAAATTGGAGGATATACCCTCCCAAAGGTATACTAATTAACGTTTCTTATATTAGAGCTTTCTAGTATAGCAAAGGTAAAAATACTGTCGAAATAATAATCAAAATGTAATATGAACAAAATTTGACACAAATATAATGGTTTAAAATTGAGCCCTGAGGTAACTTTTTATTACTCTATCATAGAATTTTAATACATATTGATAAAGTGCTCACGAAATCTCTCTTATGAATAGGGGACATGGGTGTGGTTAGCACCAGGAGTATTATCAAAAGATCCAAAGAATTTTCCAGAGCCAGACAAGTTCAAGCCAGAGAGGTTCGATCCAAATTGTGAAGAAGAGAAACAAAGGCATCCTTACGCCTTAATACCCTTTGGAATTGGGCCACGGTCATGCATTGGTCAGAAATTCTCCTTGCAAGAGATAAAGCTCACACTCATTCATTTGTACCGGAAATACATATTTCGACACTCCCCCAACATGGAAAACCCTCTTGAGCTCGAGTATGGCATTGTTCTCAACTTCAAGCATGGTGTCAAGCTTAGAGTCATAAAGAGGACATGAAAGATTGATACCGATAGTTCTTTATCATAATTCCAAGTCATTATGCATAAAATAAACAGACTTGAAACACGATTAGTAAATATGTTTGGTTGCTTTTCATAGAGAAAGATTTTTAACAGCTTTTGAACTCAGGAAGCCATTAGCAACTCCAAAATGCAATACCAAATGGTGATCACGGTATTAATTCGAATGCATGCATAAGGAGACAAATTTAACCATGATAATAAATGAACTATTTTACAAGGCAGAATTAAAAGCATACCTCCAGGATACTAATCCGTTCTTCGAATACAACAAGTGTTATGATTTATATAGAACACCGCGCTAAACGATTAATTAATACACAATAAAATCAAAATGCAAAAGGGACAACAAGCTGTTGATCTTCTTCTCAATCTCAAAGTAATGTCCTCACCTTAGTTTCATTGCGTTCAACTGTGTTGACATGTAAAGTGGCCTAGAGTTGTTGAGTGAAGAAGATTGGTCAGAACCAGCAGTGCTTTTAGAATCCCCATTGGCGAAAACAGCAGACCTCTTCAGAAACTGAAACTCATCCATGGACTGCCTAAGAATTCGGTTGTGAGATGGCTGCTGGGTGCTGCTTCCCTTTTGCTTTGCCTTCGTAGACTCGGTCAAGTTCATGTAATTGGGCCTGCTGTTTGTGCTGCTATCATCTGTTCTATCTGAAGCCAAAACTGTGTTCCCAGAGATTGGTGTTGTTGATGTACAGAACGAAGAGGAAGCAGAGCTCTCGCCGTAACGAAATTCAGAACTGGGACTCGAAGATGAGCGAGTAGCTTGCCCAATTAGTGGAGGCTTTGCTGAAATCCTTTTGGTGACATTGTTGTTTCTGACTTTAATGGCACAAGCTTCCCAAGATTTCGACCGTTTGCAAGCAAGCGAGTCTGTGGAATTCTTTGAAGGTGGAGTGATCTCTGAAGGGTCAGTTTGGGATTGTTCCATCAGCCTAGTTTCCCACGGCTTTGCAGCCATCCAACGCTCCAACCAACTCCATCCCCAGCTATTCTTGTCAAACTCTTGATTCTTGAGAGAGAAAACCGAGCTATTATGGTTTGGTCGAGAATTCGAATCTTGTGTTGATCTCCATTGCTGAAAAGACACAAGTTGAAAATTCTCAGTAAGCTGGAAAGGAAAAGGTAGTGAAAAAGTTGTGAGAAACTCATTCATTTTAGTACCTTTTGAGCTAAAGAGTATGCAATTGCTCTCTCCCTCTTGAAGGCCCCTTCTTGCCTCATTTGTAACTTTGCTTGAATATCTTCTAAAGTTCCCATGCTATCGCACCACCCTTCCTGAAAAAAAAAAAAAAAAAAAATCCTTGGATCAGAAGTTGAAAACAATTGCCAAAAAGGACAAAAATTTTCGAAAAAAAGACACAGAATTGTACGAGTATGAACACCAAAACAAGTTTGTGGTAAGGTAAAGACAGACCTCAGCTTGTTTCAAGATTTCAGCCTGGCTGCGATGTTCGTCGAGCATTTGCTGCACAGCTTGGCCTTCAATGGACATTCGCACGTGACGAGCTCTCACACGGGCCTGAACTCTGACGAGGGCTTGCATGCACCTCAGAGTCACAGCGGCTTGCTTCCTCACTTGTCTACCCCTTACTAGAGCTTGAAGCCTCACCACTCCTTTCAACGCCCTCAAAGCCCTTCTTGCCTGCAATGAAACATGGAATTAAACATTATAGATCATAAAGGTCATTTCACCGATTTTAGTTTAAAATTTAAGTTTTGTTACAGTAAAAGCTCTTAGAAATAATCACATCTAATTTTTTTATTACAGTAAAAAACTCTCATCTAAACTCATATATCAACTTAAATCAGCGAACTAAAACCCAACAATACTCTAAAAGAGAGAAAAAAAATTAAAAAAAAAAACCCTAAAATAGCTTCTGAGAAAAGGCTAATGTCCTTTATTCTCCTTAAAAGGATTTAATTAGCTAACTGAGTAAGACTCAGTGATTTAACAAAAGGTCCAATTTTCCTAAAGGAAACTCATTTACTGATAATAATTGATGTTTCTTTTCCTGTTGTAGATCAAAACATCCCAAGATTTCAACTTTCATTATGAAAAAGAATACAAAGTAGAGGATTTAGGTGTGAGATATTTGTTCTTTGCTAACTCTACAAGGAAACAAAGGAAAGTACAAGTTTGAAGAGATGAAGACATAAAAAGTTAGATACTCTACTTTACTCTGTTTTCTATCTAAGAACCATGTAGCAAAATGCAAAACAAAGAGACAATGCACCCCAAAAAAAAAAGAAAAACATAGTACCAAAAATCCACGAAAAGCGGTCTGGATCCTGATGGCAGCCCATTCTTGTCGGACAACCTTAAAATCTCTGGGAGGAGCTCGAACAACAGTAGCCATGGCGGCCGAGAAAGCATCAGCCATGCGCGGCGAATCGGAGCCTTCGGAAGCTGCCCTGTGGCTCCCTTTGAAACCCTTCCACGCTGACCCCATGTCCACGGACGAACTCCTCCATAGCCTCCATTTCTTGCTCTTCCCAGCCGACTTATCCTACAGACACAAGGGGAAAAAAAAAAAAAAGCTACTCAAGAACAGTTATTGTATGCAACAAAAAGAAATCCAAATAGAGAAGATCTTTAGGCTTACATGGTCTTCTTTTTCAGTCTTCTTATGACCTATTAGCGCTTTCACCCATTTTCCTGAAGCACCCATTTTCAGCTCAACGGGTTACAAACTGTTGGAATTTTTTTTTTTTTTTTCACTTTACGATGTCCCAGCTCCGACTAATAATTGAGCTTCTTCACTGTAACAATGGAGCCAAAAATACCAAGAAGAGTTTTCGTTTTTTTCTTTTTGAACCCAAAAAAGAGTTTCTAATCTGAGTCGGAAAAAAAAACAAAAAAAAAAACTAGAGAGAGACGTGGGTTTGTCTTTACTCTTTAGTGGGGAAGTGGGATAGTGGTCAGGTCCAAGAAAGAGTTGTCGTTTGATTGTTTGAAATTCAAAAAATCCCAACGGACTAATGGAGATGAGTCCCGCTCAATTGCTCTGTTGAGGGTTGTGATTATTTGCACCTGTAGCTCATTTTTTTATTTCCAACTTAGCCCTAACTTTTTTCGTTTTTATTTTTCTCCGGGTAAAAAAATTCATAAAAAAGTCTCGTGGCCTTTGTGACGTACATAAAAAAGTTACAAAAAGGGCCAAAAAGCAACCCGACAAATGATCCCCCCAATAAGTTACTAGTCACTGCGGTTAAGATCTGGTTATTCCTCCCGACTTTACGATTAAATTCGCCCACCACCGTCCGATTATTATTTCTTTCCCATTCGAGGACCAACCGATGGTTGCCACCTATGTTTGTGGGGTCCATTTTGGTGGACTTATCGGACTATTCAAATCTTTGAAGTGCTATGTTTGGTAGGAAGAAAAGAAAATATGATAGAAAGAAAATATGAAAGTGATGAAAAATAACAATGGTAGAAAGAAATTGATTTTCTTTTATATTGTTTGGTATGAAAAGATTAAAAGTAAATGAGCTTACCTTCACTTATTTGGTATTAGAAGGAAAGAAAAAATCTTACTCGTAAATTACTTTTATACCCTTAAATTTTTTGCTTAGATTTTGATAGAGAAAATGGTAGTTTAGTAACTTTGCTCACTTTAATGAGTTGTCCTCATTTTTCATCCCATTTTCTGCCCACTTGTGGAAATAAAAAAAATAGTGGGGCCCACATATATTATTTTTCACTCCATTTTCTCTTCCTTTCTCTTTTCTCTCCTACCAAACAACCCACGATTATGTTTGGTAGAGGGATTCGTTCCCTGATTCGAATCATGATTCGTGGTTCGCTACAATATTTTCTCTTACAAAAAATTCACGTAAATCGAAAATGATTCGAATCACATGGTTTGAATCCTCCAACCAAACGTCCTCTATACATTTTCATTTTCTCTCCCAAAATCCCGCCACCTTCTTCCTTCCTTCTACTTTTCTTTCCTACCAAACATACTCTTAGAATAAGGATTCGTATCATGATTCAGATTATGGTTCGTAGCTCGTTACAGTGTCTTTTCTCACAAAAAATACACATAAATTAAAAATAATTCTAAATTATAAATTTAAATTTCTGAATCAAACGTCATCATAATTTTCTTTTTCGGTATCATCACGATCCATGAAAATTTTCAAAAATAGAGGGTGGTGACCGGTGAAATATTGTAATCACCACATGTGGAGATCATGGATGTGAATATGTGATGTGGACTTCTCTTTGGTGTTTGTATATATGACAAGTTGATTCTCATTCTCATTTTCACCTTGAAATGGGAAAAGTACTCGAAACTCACATGATTCAACAGAGGTAGTTTTGGAAGTACAGAAAGATTATGGGGTTATATTCTACGAATTAGCCACAATGATTATGTCAGAATTGAATTTCTCTTTGGTTTCATATGTACACGATAGTTCAAGTTCTGTGTTAACGACCCGAAATTCTTCCGCATTCAAGTAATAATAAAAGAGAATCGAACCAAAAAAGAGAGGGCAAAAGAAAATAAACAGATTGCTTTTATGTAACATTTTCTCGAAACTCTGCGCAGAAAATAGAGCATTAAAGTGAAAAATTAAAAAGTAAAAAAGTAGAGGAAAGCATTTAGTGAAGAAAATTTGAAATTACCGAGGTTGGCAGTGTCACGTTTACCCGGCTTTTGTATGTCACGCGTTGACATCGAAGTGTCCACTGCCGAACTGTTTTCTCAGAGAAAAGCATTCAATTGGACTAATCAATCTTTGGCGTGTATAATAAGGGAAACTAACAAAATCGGGAAACAATGGTAAGGGAAGATAATTGCAATTGATTGCAAACCCATAATTCATGAAGATATAGGTCTAATTTAGGTTTTTTTTTTTTTTTTTTTTTTTTTTTTTTTGTTAATTTGAGTTTAAAATTTTAGTTTTATTACAGTAAAAAATTTTTAAAAACAGTCACATTTAACTTTTTTACTACCGTAAAAAGCTCTCACAGAACATCACATCTCAATTCGAATTAAAAACTCGAATTAACGAACCGAACGGATCTTAATTTATTTCACTGATTTAAGACTTTAATTTTAATTTTTTTTATAGTTAAAAATTATAATAAAAAATTATATTTAATTTTTTTTGTTACAATAAAAAATTTTCATATAAAATTATATCTCAATTTAAATTAAAAAAGTTCACTTTGATTTACTTTCCTTGTTAGCAAAATAGTATGGAAGCTTAAGATTTGTATTGCTTTTGGAATTTGTAATTTGTTTGACTAGACTTATTAGGTGGGGTCTATGAAATATAGTTTTTTTTTTTTAAAGGTAAAAGCAAATTCATTAAATCAAATCAGGCCGACCAAAAGGGGATACAAATCTAGGAATGCAATCTGTAGCAACAACATCAACACTAGATTGGAAAGCAAACGAAGCCAAAATATGAGCAACAACATTGCCCTCTTTATGAACATGACAACACTTCTACTCATAAGTCGCAGCAAGAAGTCTAAGGCCCTGTTTATTTCACCGAATTGAGTTTAAAAATTAAGTTTTTTTACAGTAAAAAGTTCTTAAAAACAGTCACATTTAACTTTTTTACTACAATAAAAAATTTTCACATAAAATCACATATCAACTTGAATTAAAAACTCGAATCAGCTAGCTAAATGGATCTTAAAAAATAGTGTTTTGATGGACGACATTCTTATGAAATATAGTTGTTGTGTGGTAATATATTACAGTTAAACATCTATAAATTAATATTTTAGGATCATAAAAAACTTATTAATTAATTGATATATTATTTAATTCATATAAATTAATACTTTTAAGACGAGGTTAGGATCGATTAAAAATATTATTTTATCGAGTATTATATTGAGGTTATATTATACATAAGGTATAATTTTAATAGTTAGATAAAATTCAAACTTTTTAATATTCTCTATATTTTTTTCAATAGAAGATGATTGATCAAGACAATGACAATAAGAATATAAGAGCATCTCCTGTAGTATCATTTGAATAGAAAATTATTCTATAATGTAATATTATATTTACTGTTAAACTTAACACTATGTTATATCTAGTGTCAAATTAAACACTAAATATAGCACATGTTAAATTTTACATTAAAAAACTATTTATTACTGTATTTACCTTTTTTATTTAAATTTTTTTTTTAATACAAAAGGGGAGAGAATGCCATTATTAACCATCAATTTATGATTAGAGTAAAAAAACTTATATAAATTACAACTAACTAGATTGTCCTCACTCGTTAAACATTTAAACTAACATTATACATTAAAGTATAAAATAAAATAATACATTGAATATATTATTTTTATATTGAACATTGACATTTCAAAACGGAGATGTTTTTAAGAATTGTTATTGGTTGATTAACGTTTGGGTTAAACTCCTTCACAGAGCCTTCTTATAGCTATGTTGGACTATGGAGCCATATATATCCTGCGAGCGATTTGTCGCAGTTCTCATAAAGTAGTTGGTCAAATTTTCGTGGGTCAATGGTCAATGGTCAAACTTAAAACACATACTTCAATGGAAGCGCACATTACCCACACTTGTTGCCACCTCTTGGTTTGGACGTTGCCCATTTTCTCGGGCATGCAAAATCCATAATAAAAAATAAAAAAAAAATACTATCATCACTCTTTAATTATTTTTTTTATTATATTTATTATTTGACACATAAATTTTATTAATATGTATATATTTTTATTTAAATAAAAATAATAATAAAATTTACGTGTTAAACATGTGATAGAAAGAATAATGTTTAACAACTGTCATAAAAATATACCACTTTGTCAACCGGAAATTTAAAAGACACGCGTAGGCAAATTGAAAGAAAAATACTTTTATTTAGCAACAACATATATTTACAACTTGCACCCAAAAAAAAGAAAAAAAAAAAACAAACTAATGAAAGAATTCATCTCATTTAGAAAAGAGAACGAAACTCATTCTAAGACCAAGAGCACGAGAATAAGTTTTAGTAGGCTTAATTGGCATTGACGGGAGAAAAAGATGGCGGAGCCAATCTTGGGCTGGGGAGGCCCATATAAGCAAGCCTGGGCGAGACCCTGATCTTTGGGCTGGGCCGCGGTGAGGGGATTGGTAGACAGGGTCCAATGTTGCCCGGAGTAAGCCTTGGAGACAAGTTGACTTGTTCAAGTGCTCGGGATTGTAACTCCAGAGGATAGTCCCTGACACACCCAATACGTGGACCAACCCCACTTGTCCACTTGCAAGACAAGCGTTTGGCCAAGTCGAAAACTGGCGCTTCGGGTTTGGCAACGTTGGAGTTTGCAATGTTTTCTTGACGTTCCGTCGGGATGGTGTTGGATTCCTTGCCATTCACGGCATTAATGTCCAATGCCACCGTGGTTGTGGAGATAGTGTTGAGCTCATCTTCTGCCTTGCTCTCTTCTTCATTGGTTACTTTGAATGACGTTCCTTCATTTTCTATTGAATATCTCTGCAGAAAGAGAGAAATATATATGGTGAGATGGGCAATTTCATTTGCTCAAAATAAACTTGAGTTGTTACTCTTAAGATTCGAACTTCAGACTTGATACAGGTTTTATATTCTAATAAATTACGACATCAATTGTGATTTTGAGAATTGCCTTGTAAGTCAGAACATAATTTGTTAAAAGGTCTCGTGATATTTACAGTGAGACTCAAACTCAAATGATTGGATTTAGGTTCAAGTTGAGTGCTAATAATTACCTTAACGTTGGTAAGGTCTACTTGGTGCTCTTGGAGGAAGCTGATGAATTCCTTGAAGTTGTCTTCAGTTGGGAGATAGTGACCACTGTATGGCCATATAGCCTGAAAAAGGGTAGAACATCGTTAGCTAAAAAGTAAATAAATAATAATATAGTTGTGCAAGAAAAAAAATTGATTTCTCTTGTTGTTGTTGTTGTTACCTCAAGAACCCCATCACGGGCAACTAATCTTCCAGCTGCTGTTGTGGCTCCTCCGGAAAGAAAACTCGAGTGCTGAAAAACGCCTTTCTTCTTCTGCCCCACATACAAGGCCCTTGACGTGCTCAGCACAAATATCCACTTAGACCCCTCAGTTGTGTTCACCAGCACCCCAGTTTGCCTGTACGCAAGTTTACCATCCTCTACCACAACTTCATACGTTTCGCGCTCTATCTGCGACCGAAAACCAACAGAAGAAACGTTTTAGCAAACAAAACGCCTCATCGTTTAAGCAAATTTTCTCTGTAAGTGATCATTAGAGCATTGTTTTAAGGCTTTAGAAAGGCTTACCGGTCCAAGATATCTGATGCATTGCTGTTGTAGGACATTCCTTTGACACTTCTTGAGGTTCAAGTCTTTACCATCACCAACATCCAACCTTCAGTTCCAAAAGTTCAAAAGCTAATTAGTACGAGGATTTAATATGAACTATATCATATATACAAAGGCTAAAAGTTCTCACGAGGTAAAAAGACTTGTATACATACCAGTAAAAGAAAGGTTGGGTGCTCTTGCTATCAAACCAGACATCGTAGTAGAAGTGAAGGTTATGGCCATATCGATGACGTGGATCAATCTGTAGAAGACGAGGAAAGATGGACCACGGTAAGTCCTTTGCTTTATTTGCAGAAATAAATTGAGAAAGAAAAAAGAAATGTAAGGGTCAATTAGCAAGATTTGTTAGAAAGATTATATGTACTTACAGCTTCAAGCCAGTGCTGTAAAGCTAATTTCTGAGCCTTCTCATCCTTGGACAAGCCTTTTCCAACCTACAGCACACAATCATTTTATCTTTAATCCAAAAATTATTCTAAAATCCTCCTTCAAAGATAAATAAAACATGATGATTGTAAAAACTACCTTAGCAGCTCTTGTTCTTGCTCGTGACCACCGCGAAAAAGCAGTCTCTGGCTTCTCAATATCGAAGAATGAAACTGAACTCCTTTTTAGAGCTGCAAAGTCTAATGCCTTCCACCTAAAATGAGAACCAAATGCACATAATCAGAAACAAAAGAACTGAAAAGAACACTGAGAACAATAACGAGATATGAATTATCTTATATATTGAAAGGGACACAAACCAGAGTTCCTCAACCACAACAGCACAATCTGCAAGGTTTCGCCTAGTTCGGTAACTCTTGTAGACCTTCTGAAGCTTAGTAGCTGCAGCGTCAAGCTCGCTAACGGGCCTCGGAGAGAAAAAAATCACCGGCTGAGGAAGCAAAATGGTGGGCTTTTGTATCTGCATTGTTGCTTCCTTGTTTAGGCATATTGAATTTGAAGGTTTTGAGACGGGTTTGTTTTTCCCTAGGACCGAATTGTCTGATTTATCATATACTTCAATCTTTGGTTCTCTTGATTCCCTTTTTTTCACGCTCGTTGACCTTTCTATATTCGCTTTATGTGATGTACTAGACTTGTTTTGAGTTTCTGATGAAGATTCTTTGAGTCTCATGGACCTCATGATAAACATTTTTAAAGTGTCGGTTAGGCCAAAAAACTCATGCCTTAGGATTTCACTCCATGGGGATAAAAGCACCGAAACAGAAAGACCCATCAATTCTCAAAGAGCTTTGAACTTCAACTTGTGAGTCGTCAATGAAAAAACCTAGTCAGAAAGAAACACAAGTATCAGTAAGGTTTCCAGAGTTTAAGAAAAATTATCTTCCCTATTTGTCCCAAGAAAAAAAAAAAAAAAGCAAACAAAATCAAGAAATATGCAGATTTGCAACCACAAAATCTTGTTTCCTTTTTAAGAAAAGCACAAATCGGTTTTGTAAAGAACTCCACTTTGTAGGAGAAATAAATAAAGGTTCAAAAAGAGAAAAATCACTGACTCAAAAGGAATATATGGGCAAAAACAAACAACCCCAGATCATTTCACAAAACTAAAAACCAAAAACATAGAAGAACCCGGCCATGAACACCCAAATTAGACCACTATCCAACATAGAAACCTTAACATATCAAGCATAATGGAATTAAGATAAAAAACCAAACTCCCATACCTGCAAACCCACAACACCAGTGACCAGAGGACTTGCAGAACCAACCTCACTCTCTCTCTCTCTCTCTCTCCCCAAGAGAGCAAAAAAGTTTACACCAAGCACGCAATAGAAAATATGAAACACTTCCAAGTTTTAAGTAGTAATATCTCACCCTCTATATATATATACACCATAAAAAAAGCGGTTTTGAAAAATCAAAGTTGGTGACTCTCAGTGTAAATTTCCAGCTGAGCAGCTCATGAGAAAAACTGAATTTGGCGGGTACACTAGACCTTCCACGAAGTTGAAGGGAAAGACCTTTTTTTTTTTTTTTTTTTTTTTTTTTTTTTTTTTTTTTTTTTACTTACTTAAACAAACAAAAACAAATGCAAAAGTAAAAAGGTGAAGAAGAAAGTCAAGCAGTGGGGCGATTGCAACACTGTTATTACCTCCCTTTTGTTTTTACTCGACGTTCTTTGTATGAAATAACGGAGTTGTTATTGATATTGTTCAATATAAAAATACCCACAATCCTAACAGTGAATTTGAAAGTCAACTTGTACATTCCACACGATTCACTTCCCCGATTCTTCTTTGTGGAAAAAAAATGCAGCTTTGAAGTTTGAATGCGTTTGGAAGTTATCTTAACAGCGGTAAACGCTAATAAGCAGTAAGCACCTTGACTGGAAAATTTGGAAGATAAGATTGCTCGAAAAAATCATGAAGACCATGAAGTGTCCTTTTCTGTATTGGTACTTGGTTTAGAAATGATAATTTTTTTTTTTTTTTTTTTTTTTTTTACTTTGGAGAAAATTATGTCCAAGTGACGTAAAGAGTACGGTCGATTTATAGATTGGTAGGTACACTTTCCACCATAGAATAAATGATTGTCGCCATTTGGTATAGACTAAATTTATTAGCCTATTTGCATGACTTCTAGACGTGGCCTGCCTCATTTTCCACATCCACTAGCCTCAGCCATCAATCACTTGGTAGTACAACTCTAACGTAGATTGCCGTATTCACGTAATATATATACATACATACGTATATACGAGCATGTATTTGAGCCAATGCATAACAGCTGTGAAAAGGGTGGTGGACCGCGGACTCGTAAATGCAGGTGTCATCTATCTAATCAAGAATTTTATAAACAGAAGTGGCAACATTTTTTATGTCGATTTATTGGTTGCATGCTAGTGAAAGGTACGTTACAACAGCCTTTGTTTATTACAATTATTATTATTTTTTGGTCGTCGAGCTCTTTCTAATTTTGCAAATCTTGTTTTTTTTTTTTTTTTTTAATTCTAAATATCTGGTAAACATCACGTTCCTGAATTTCACGAGTATTGAAACATGCAATAAATAACTTTCATGATTTATAGAGTTTTAACCTAATAATAACTAGATTAATGCCATTTTATTTTGGTAGTATAGAAATATTTCTATCAATTCGAGCTTTATACTATTATTTTAGTATCATAAATTCTTCAAAGAGTATTCCTCCATAAAATGTACGGCTAACAAATACCATTGTCTCTGAACAAGTCAAGTCAAACATCACGCGTCAATAAGCCGAAGCAAAGATTTCCATCATATATAATTCCTCATTGCTCAGTCGTTTCAAGGAATTCTCAGTATTCCACCAATCAACCAAAACTAAAAAAACAACTTTAAAGGAAGAATAAATTGAAAATTCATTTCCACAACAATCGTGTGAACAATTTCTCGAGAAAACTGGCAACGCAGAATGTTCAAAGTATCTAGTAATGGACTCTGTTTGGGGATTCCAACGAGTCCTTTACGCAGCAGATATTGATTGAGACTTCTGTCTGGGAGGAACATGGAGCCAACACTTCATCGTATCATATGCAGTGAAACCGATAGCGACCGACGGAACAATCTGAGATCACAGTTTAACAATTAGTCAGCTAGCACAATTGACCCTGAAATTCTATGACTAATAGCAAGAAATCTCACAACTAAGTCTCAGGCCCCGTTTATTTTACGGATTCGAGTTTAGAATTCGAAATTTGCTACAATAAAAAGTTTTTAGAAACAGTCACATCTAACTTTTTTACTACAGTAAAAAACTCTTACATAAAATCACATATCAACTTGAATTAAAAACTCGAATTAGCGAACTAAACGGGCCCTAAATCTCCTGCATCTATTGGAAATTTAGACGGGCCCTATATGGTCTCAATGTACACGGATTAGAAAATTACGATTCCCTTATAGAGCAATCACCTTGTCATATACTTGTATAAAAAAAAAAAAAAAAAAAAAAATTACCTTGATATAGTTAATGCTTAGGCCTGCAAACAACTGCCTCCATCCTTGATTACGAACAATAGTGGTAAGCCCTTCCCATGTGTTCTTGAATCCACCATCACCTTGAGCTGAATTTAACTGTTTTCCGACCTGTGGTAACGTTCAACAGCTAATGTAAAACTCAAAAGTCTAATTTCTGCATAAACTTAAAGTTAATATCAACAGTTATTGTCACAACAGTCCCAGCAGAAAAAACAACTTTCATATCCGCCATCATCTCCCTATTGCTTCCAAGGCGAAGATCAAGATGGGATACATTTAATTATTTATTTTAAGAGTACATTATCTGTCAATGTCAATTATATGATAATTAAAGAAATTAAAAGTAGTCATCAACACGCTATCATAAAGCCGCCAAAAACATCTAATCTAAGAGATATAAACAGCCAACAGCCTACTCTTACTAGATTTGAAAGACAATTGAAATGAGGCAATACCTGCATTTGCCTCCTAACAACATCTAATGGGTATGTGAAGGTCTGCCCAAATAATCCAGCTAAAGCTCCACATGAAAGTCGCATTGTGATGGACTTCTCATACTCCTCAGGAACATGCCTCTTGAGTTCCTCATATATGTAAAACTTTAAGCCCGCATAAGGGAGGATTCCAATGAGGGTTGGCCCTGCTCAAACAAAATTTTGGATGAAATTGACATCTATAATACGGTATCAAAGAACAAGAGAAAGGCACTTCCACTGAAGAGTGAAAAAGCAAGTTTCGGTATAGATTACGCATTTCAAAGACATGCTTCAGAATGAGAAACATGCAAGACGTACATACCTACACCTCGATATAGACCACGAACTCCCCCTTCCTTGTAAACACTGAAAAGCACATCTTTTATACCCTTATAAGGACTTTTATACTCAAAACTTCCTCTAGTGTCCACAACCTAGACAGTAATAAAGAATTTAAGTAAGAAAAAAAGAAAGTGGACTACCGAATCAAATGAAAAATAGAAACCAAAACCAGTAAATTATTAAGTAATCTTTTACTAACACTGAATTATAAATCAACCAAAACGGCATAGATAAGCAAACAAGTACAGACCTGATAAGCAAGTCTAGTACGAGCTAGGTCCAAAGGATAAGTGCACAAAACTGCTGTTCCTCCAGATGCTGAACCAGCTAAAAGATCAATATGACTACCCGATCCTAGAATAGGATAATTGCTTAAGATCCATGACCTATACTGCTCGTATGTCATGAAATGCAGGGCTGCATAGGGAACAATTCGAATGACGCTCGCACCATTTCCCCTAAAAGGCCAAAAAAACATAATTAAGAAATAATTATCTAATGATGGATTTAAAAAAATAATAAAAATAAAAAGGAGGAAAACTTAAATCCTCAAATACAAACTTACTTATAGAATCCCAGAACACCTTCATGCTTCAGTAATTTTTTAAAAGATTGACCCACCCCAAGAGAGTGGAACCCTTCTGTCCTTGTCTGAAAGAGAGAGGATAATTGCTTTAAAAAAACGCCTTGGTAAAAGTTGTCAAGAGACTTTAAACATATCATGGAAGAAAGAAACAGGCAACAACTTAAAAGCAATGCAACCGTCTCCGATGCAACATACAGAAGTAGAGTAAATAAGAGACCGACAGGAGCCATCTTAAAAATTATTATAATCAATTATCGCTATCAATCAATAAACCAGTTATTTTAAGATATCAAGGTCTTAGAACAATGACCCCTGTATAATCCTAACTTAAAGCTTGAGCCATAGCAACCAAGTCGTATTTTTGTTCCTCTATCCTCTCTGTCTCTTTTGCCACTACTAAAGAGGTGCGCTCTCTGCCCTTAATAAACAAATTTAATTCCAAATCTAGCGTCCACAGAATCAACAATTCCATCAAAAGTTTAGATTAAGATAATCACTTCATTAGTCTCATGACTGACCTTGTCGGAATACCATACATACAATTACTATATCCCTATTTAGGCCAGGAAAGCCACTTTTGGGAGTGTACGTACGAGCTTACAAATTACAATGGATACTGAGTCCCACTCGTTTCCACAGAATGAGCTTCAAACAAATCAAGGGAAACATTTCATGTGTAATTTTCTTCATTATTTAGAAAAATAATTTCACCTTTATCCTAATACATGCAACGAAAAAAAAAATCAAAGTACATCATCCAAAAGTAAATGAAACGGTGTCTACATCAGGTAGCACCAGTGGTGGATGCAATTTTTTCCTTACTTTGCCACCCAAAATTTTCGAATTGCAATATTTACATTGAAATTTTTAGAAAAGTTTCAGTTATGCCCCAAATTTTGACTTCCAATCTACTTATATTTCAAACTTAAAATACCAAATAAACCAAAAACAACCACAATATCACATAAATCTCATAATTTCATTAACTGTAAATTTTTAAAAATGAATTAAACTCGATTAAGATAAATGTGCTATTAATTTAGTTTAAAGTTTTGGTTCCCCTGAAAAAATTCCTGCCTCCGCCTAGCACCCCCAAATTCCACCAGTGTGAAAATTTACATAATATCATCAGCATAATTTGAGTAGCAATTGCAAAGGTACGGCTCAGGGGTTAATAGGATATTATACCTGCAATAGTATCTTGATACGCTCCAAGGGAGCCACAGCAGTCTTGGCAAACGCCCCAGCAGCGCCTCCGGCTATGAGCTCCTTCGCATAAACAGGCAAATGATCAATGCACGACACCGTTTCGCGAGTGGACGAGCCATCCACCAAACTCGCCACGTTCGTGGAAAGAGTAGACCTTTGCGCAGAACCCATTCGCAGTTTTCACTCCAAACTCCAACCCAGAAAACCAATCTCACAAATTTTTCGCAAACTTTTTGTCGTATATTCGTTTTCAATTACCCTCCTTGAAGCGCGAAGAACTCCTTATCCCATCTAGCTCTCGGAACACCGAAAGCAAAGGCCTTTTGTTCAAGAAAAGACAAGCGAATTCGAGGGCTGAGAACACCCAGCGACGAGTCGGCTACGTTCACAAGCCGGTTCTCTTCTTCGATTATAACAAGATACATCCAAAGGATATACGGGAAATTTTGCCCTAGAGGATCGGAAACTGAAAATCTCACTTCGATTATGATAATAATCCTCCCATGGATCTAGACTAAACCCATGAAAATTCAAAACCCTACTGCAGATCAATCGGAATATCAAACAAGAAGAATATCAAAGAGGACGAAATCCTGAATAACAATCCCGTCAATCTATCACAGAATCATCAATATCCACAAGAATCCAAACAAATTCTCTGAATCTTATGCCGGAGAATCAATGACTAGGGTCGAATTTTGCAGAAAATAAATTGAAATCGGAAAAGGAATTGGGAAAAAGAGGAATCGAAAAGTTGTGAAAGGAAACCTCTAGAAAATTGGAAGTGAACTGGGGGGGTCAGAAATAGGAGAAGAACATGCACGTGAATTGCGTGAGAATTGAATAAAAGTAGCCAGTTCTCTCCTTGGTCGCGGGAAGGGAGCACGGGAGGTTTCCTTTTCTAACTTCTCCTTTTATTTGTTTATTTATTTATATGTTTTTATTTTCAGCCGGCAAAGGTGTGTGAAATTTGGAAGGCTAAAAGGAAACTGACATTCGATTCTCCCGTTATAAACCAACGGTGACCCAACTCCATGCCACAAATATTAGTAAGGTGTGATTTTTTTAAAGATTTTTAAGGGATTGTGTTACCCATTAAAAAGGGGATCCAAAAAGAAAAAAAGTAATTTACGCTGTTAGTCCTTTAATATTTTAATAAGTTTTTTTTAATGGGTTATTAACACAAATGGTCATCAATTTATTTAATAAGTGACAGTTTGGTCTTTAACTTCTTTTTTAATAAATCGACCCTCAATTGTTTAAAACATGTGTAATCTAATCATTTCTGTCAATATCAGTCTAAAAGCTAACGGAAGAAGCCCACGTGACCCAGATTGTTGGTGGAAAGATGAAATTGCCCGCTTAAACTCTTCCGGCGACCAATGATGAAATTGCCAGAAATCTAACCGGAGATGGTCGGAACTATTCCTGTGACCAATGACGAAAAACTTAGTATGTATTTGTTCAGCTCGATGAAAGGAGTCTAAAGACACCACTTGCCGGATGATTGGATGTCGGACGGCGTCAGAATTTGCGTTGGAAGGTGTTGAAGCAGGAAATTTCAAACTGAAATTCCAACCGATCGGCAGCGAATCGGGCGGTGAGGTGAGAGGGGGGTTGTAGATCAGCTCATGGGCTCTCTTGGTCCGCTCTCAATTCATGGTGGATCAGCCGGAGGTGGCCGAAATCGACAGCAGCTCTCTTTTCTCTTTCGTCGTGAGTTGTTCACTTTTTTTTTTCTTCCTGATTTATGCTAATTCAATGTGGGAAGATGGTGGAGACACGTTGGGTAATTTGGACCTTTTATGTGATTGTCTAAATTTTAATTTAGACTCTCAATTACAGAGCAATATCTTCCAATTTCAATCCAAAATTCTCTTCTTCCACCGTATAAACCACCCCAAATCAACCAAGGATGTGTTTTTACACATATATCCCAAGTTAAGGGGTCACGTGGGCTTCTCCCGTTAGTTTTTGGACGGATCTTGACGGAAATGACTAGATTGCATCTATTTTAAACAGTTGGGGGTTGATTTGTCAAAAAACGTTAGAGACTAAAATGTCACTTACTAATTGGTTGTGGACCATTTGCGCCAATAACTCTATTTTAATTTTGACAAAACGAACCCTCAACTTTTAAAATATTGGCTGTTGAGCATTTTACATTAATTTTTGGATAGTTTAATTCATGGGAGTTTACGTGTGTTTAAGATAGCCTCTCGAAGACTTTAAAAAAAAAAAATAGTCTTTCTAATATTTTCCATTTAATTTCTCCTAAACCTGACCTTCCCACCACAATTGATAAGAGCTTGTCTTCGCCCCATCTTTACCTAGTTCCACTCATCACCGCCATCACTAACTTACCCGGTGACCAGATCGTCAGCGATGGCATCTCCCGCCATGTTTATAAGACCATATCTTAAGACCAACCGTCGCGTCATCAAGAGCTCCGCCCAACCATCGCGAGATCCCCGTTGTATCTCCACTGCCTTCCCACCCCGCCGACTTCTTTCTCTCTGATTATAGAGTTGTCTAAGATTTTTAAATTTCTTTTTAACTTGTTCTACACTTAACGATATCACATGAACTGCACATTTTATTCTGTATAATTTCCTCTCACTGTTATTTTTGCTTATTTGTTTGCCATTTTCTCCATCATCTTGGGGAATTAAGAGCAATGTTGATACTATATATACATTATTTTTTAGCCCATTTAATCCTCAAAGATGAGAACAACAAAGAAATGAAAAAAAAAAAAACAGTTATTTTTCTATTCCTTTAATTTTCTTGCCATTTGCTTCACCTTCTCAGCATGGGAAGGCTTAAAAAACGGATTAATTTAATAAATAGTCTCTGAAGTTTACATTAAATCTTATTTTGATCTTTGACTTTTTAAATGTTTCACAGTTGGTGTTTAAAGTTTTATTCTGTTTTAATTTTAGTCATTTTATTAACTTGGTGTTTAATATTTGACAGAATCTGTAAAAATTAGATATTAAAATTGAAAACATCTAAAGTTTAAGGACTAAAACAATACAGGAAAAAATTAATTTTCATAAATAGTCCTAAAATTTTATCTGTTTGCAATTTTAATCATTAATTTACACATATTACATCAAATTTTAATGTATAATTAATAGAAGGATCATTTGTGAAACTAACCCTAAAATATTTGAAGTGAGAGGGGAAGTGTGGCAGAATAAAATAGAGGAGATATCTAAACCAGATCAAATTTGCAGAGAAAGTAGAACTACTATATATTTTTCCTTTTTTTATTTTTTTAATAAAAAACTTAAAGTAACTTGATTGAAAAGGCTAATTGTCAATGGCTTACGAATTTGGAGTTTGTTTTGTTAAAATTTAAAAAAAAAAAAACAAAAACAAAAACAAAAACAAAAACTAAAGTATCACCTACTAAATAACTAAGACCAAATCCCGTACAAATTACTAAAAGGAAATACAAAGATAAACATAAAAAAGCGTTGGATAAGTAATGGAGGTTGGATTTTGATTCTCAAACAAAAAAGGATTACTATGTAAAAAAAAAAAAAAAAGGAACGAATGATTAGATCTTTTTATCCGCAACAATATTCTTTTTACTTCCAAATTAAAAACTTTCAATTCTAAAAATAAGATTAAGATGAACTTCTCGTTGTTTAAATTTTGCTAAGATTTCTCAAAGAAAAAAAAAAGAGGAAAAAAAACTCTATAGCTAGGAAAGCTCATAAAAAAAATTCCTAGTTCTAGGAATAAGATTAAGATGATCAATTAGTTTTTTTTTTTAATAAAAAAAAAGGTCAAAAACTTTGTGCATAATATAATAAATTAGTATAATTTTTTTTCTGGGGGGAATTTTAAAACCAGTACGCAATAACTGCTTAATTTGCGAGGATATGTTTTCGTTGGTGGAGTATCAACTTGAAAAGACGACTGCCATGGAAAACAAATGAATTCATGGAATGTTTCTGCTTTATAATATGGACGTGAAATACATATTTTGGTGATATATATATATATATATATATTTTTTTTTTTTTAAATTTTTTTTCCTTGTGGTAGCACAATCGGCCACTGAAGGTCGCCGGAATTTTTGTACCACGTACGGTAAGATCGGCAATGTTCGGCCAATAAATACAAAGTATCACAACAAGACATAGGTGGCCTCCGACACTCGACGACTCAAAATATCATAGTAGAGCACTGATAGTCACCGGCCGACTGTTGTCGGCTGCTAGGATTTTTAATATCACAACGATACCTATTATGTTAGGATACTGAAAGTCACCCACCAGCTATCATCGGATATTCGAATGTTTAGTATCACAACCTGTTACCTATAAGTATCATGGTTGGATACCTGGAATCAATATGATAGTAATGTGGTGGCAAGAAATTGACAGGGATACCCTTTTGGAGTATAAAGATTTGTGGTCATTATCGAACACTATATATGATTTCTGCTCTAACTTTGGACAAGATAAGATTTTAAGGAAATAAGACAGAGCGAAAAGTAAAGGTGCACATTTTATAATTTTACTTATCTGTTAAAAAAAAAAGAGACAAATACTTTTTAAAATTGTATGAGTTTAAATTTTTATCTCTTACTCTTAATTAATATCATTTTAATCATGTATTAATCAAAAATAAGTTTATTAATTCATCAAGTGCTCTCAGAAAGGCCTTGTTTTTGTTGGATTTTCAGTAGGCCGGGCCCAATGGGGCACCCCTTTTTTCTCACTTTTTATTACGAAAATAGTAGAAAATATGCCAATGTGAAAAGTTTAAGAAAATATATAAGTTAACTTTTAGTTATAAAAATTAATAGGCCATAACTTGTCAAGTTATGGTTCATAATCAGATAAGTTATAGACAAATTTGTCAAGTTATGGTTCATAACCACACAAGTTATGTACAAAAACCGTGATTTATGGACAATAACTTATCAAGTTATGGTTCATAACCAAACAAATTATGGACAAAAATAATAATTTGACCTATTTATTAACTTATGTAAACTATGGACCTATTAATTTTAATTCATCCTAAATCTTAGCCTATTTCTCCCTTTCTCTCATTTTATTACTTGTTTATAAGTCTCTCAGTACTTCTGCAAAACCAGACAATGTAAATTATGAAGCACATTCGTCAAGCTATTTCAGGCATAAACAATTACGCATTTATATATGATTTTAGCTTATTGCAGGCATATACGAAATACAACTCTCTTTACTCGCTTGCTGTAAATTTATGTCCTAGTAAGTAAGTAAGGCACTTGAGTTGTGTGTGCACTGATTGTTACTGTAAAACGACAACAATAACAACAACACGCTTTGATAGTTAATCCTTTATCCTTGTACCATCATTTTCGAATGATTTTAAAATTTAAAGTTCTTGTTCGTCTCTTTCCTCCGTATATAATATAAGATTTGAATATGAAGGAAAAACAGGTGTTTAATCAGTTCATTAGCTAACTCCATGAACGCCCCAAAAAGGATTACATTGACTCTCATAAAAGTACAACCCCTGGCCGAGTCAGAATTTTAATTCAGATGATCCAAATTAAAAACGTGAAAAATGTTAATAAAATCAATTTTAATTTTTTAGATGAATAGTATATATGTATAGACTATTAGACATACTTGAGTAATAAAAATTTTAGCAAGTAAATTAAATAAGAAAAATTATTTAAGAAGTACATAATATCTATACAAAAATAATAACTGCAAATGTCATAAAAGGAAAAAAAGATCTTTAAGTATATAGGGTACA